GGGCAATCTACTTCTATAGTGATACTGCCTCGGAAACCCAAGGAGGGGTCACTATGAGTTGGGTCTGACTCGATGGTACATAACAACAACAACAACAACATATAAGCTCTGGTAGCATAGTGCCTAAGGCACTTGACTACTAACCAAAAGGCTGGCAGTTCAAACCCACCAGCCCCTCCTCAGAAGGAAGGTCGAGCAATCTACTTCTGTAGTGATGCCGCCTCGGAAACCCAAGGAGGGGTCGCTATGAGTTGGGTCTGACTCGATGGCACATTAACAACAACAACATATGTGTACATATATGTGTGTGTATATATATATATATATACATGTATACATATACATTTAAAGAGGTGCAGTATTCAAGGGTGAAAATCTTTACTCATTGAGTTAGACAGTTACTTAGTTTACAGGTGACTTCAGAGGATAGTTTCAATTTAGGGTTTGAAGAGCAACTGAGGGCCAGAGGCTAGGGACACTCCCCCAGCCTCAGTAGGTCCAGTAAGTCTGGATTCTTTAAGAATTTGACGTCCTCTCCCACACTTTTCTCCTTTCCTGTCAGGGTTCATCTGCTGTGTTCCTCCTGATCAGGAGGCTCTGTGGTGGCACTATCTGGTTCTGCAGGTCAACCTGGAACCCTTTTGTTTATTGGTTATGGATTTCTGTTTTCCGACCGATGGCATCCCCCTGTGTGTTGTGACAGAGTTGTGCTCTGTGGTGTTTTCTTTTCTTTGTCTTTGCCTTTCCCTTCCCCCAAGTTAATATGTGTCTGCCCTCTAGTTAGTGGCTTACCCTTCCTTTCCCACCCACTCCTCATAAGCATGAAAGAATGCTTCTTTTTTTGTGAAACCTTTTTCTTGATTTTTTCCAATAGTAGTCTCATACAATATTTGTCCTTTTGTGATTGACAAATTTCTCCCAGCATAATGGCTCATGTTGTGAGATGTTTTGCAGATTTCATCATTGTTCTTTAATGTTGCATAGTATTCCGCTGTGTGTATGTATCATAGTTGGTTGATCCATTCCTCCACTGATGTGTATTTAGGTTGTTTCTACCTTTTCGCTGTGGTGAATAGCCTTGCGATGAACATGGGTGTGCATATATCTGTTCATGTCATGGCTCTTATTTTTCTAGGATATATACATTGTGGGATTGCTGGATCATATGGTATTTCTATTTCCAGCTGTTTAAGGAAGCACCATGCTGTTTTCCACAGTGATTACAGTGTAAGAGGGTTCCAGTCTCCACACCCTTGCCAGCATTTGTTGTTTTCTGTTTTTTTTAAACTTTGCTATTAGTGCTGGGGTGAGATGATATCTTGTTGTTTTGATTTGCATCACTCCAA